GGAGGTCCCTAGGTTGAAAGACAAAGCACCTCCTTCCTGGGTCCTTCATTGGCAGAGTTCATGGAAAGGTAGCACCAACTATTCAACGGCAAACAGGGTTTGTCCCCAACTGTTCTTTGTTCTGTGTGTGCTCCTCCCCAGGTTTGTCTCTTCAGCTGAGGGTCTGCTCTGATCAAAAGAGAGCAGTGATACCAGGACCTGGCTGCTCTTGCAGTGGTCCTGAGTTCACCTAATACATCCAGAGGTCAGTGTCTCTCACAGGTCACATGGCTGCAGGCAGCAGACCTTGCACCTGAGGCTCAGTTGTCCAAGCCAACTCCACCCCAGCGCTCTCTTCCTCCACATACCCAGATGAGTAGACCTCTGGCCAGGCACCCAGCTTGGACTTTGTTATCCCTGACATCCATGAAAATCATGAACTTATACTTATTTCAAAAAAACATGACAAAAAAAGTAACAAGAATTACGTATTGTAAGAGTTTTTTTATAATAATGTTTTTATGTAATAAGATATAATAATTCTAATATAGTAAGATGTCTATTATTTAGCCTTACAAATACTAAATCATTTTCTTATTCTAAAGGTGACTAGGATATGGCTTTGAAAAACTAAACATACTCAATGATGTAACTATACTAAACACTTGTGTTGGTAACTATTACATTTCCTATTTTTTAACCTTTAAGTTTACCAACAGCTACCACTCTACAGAGATCCTCATCTTTAGAGAAAAGAGCTGCTTAAGGAACATTTGGTCAAATCAAAGCCCAGTGACTTTTATTACATGTGTTAGTTTCTCTGAAGAAGATTGTCTTTCTACCAAGTATGTGGAATGCCAACAGACAGGTCCTTTGCGCGTCAGCAAATTCGCTCGGAAGGAATCTCACCTCTAACTCCTCCGCCTGATCTGCATTCTCATCATCCGAGCCGCTGTTCTTCGGTAAGTAGGTCATTTTTAATCTCAGATAACCTTTGACTCTTGACTTGTGGCTGCGGAAAAGAAAATAATTATTCACAAAACTTGACAACCAAGAAGAAAGTATTCATTTGGTGAGTTTATGGAACACCTTGCTGGCTTTGAGGGGCTCTAAGAATGGGGTGCAATGTCAAGCTTCAGTGAAGATAGAAGATGTTCATCAGAGAGAACAGGGGTGGAGAGAAAGGAGAGGGCTGAGGTGAAGAGGGAGAAAGGGAGCCCATTACACCAGAGGTAAGATGCTTGGATGGGGGGCTGGAGAGATGGCCTAGCGGTTAAGAGAACTGAGTGCTCTTCCAGAAGACCTGGGTTCAATTCCCAGCACCCATATGGCAGCTCACAACTGTCTGTAACTCCAAGATCTGACACCCTCACACAGAGATACATGTACACAAAATACCACTGCACATAAATTTTAAAAAGATGCTTGGATGGTTAAGGGGAGGGTCAGAGAAAACCCAGGCTGCTCAGTTAAGAGCTCCAAGCCGGGGGGAGAGGGATGGGGGACAGTGGAAGCCCGGGTGGCTTTAGTGTGGGCAGCACCCTCAGTGCAGATAGGAGATGCAATTTCTTCATTTATTTATGTGCTTATTTATTTACGAAAAAGATACTCTACAGTGTTTCTAGCAATCGAAGGGCCGGCTAGCAGGGCAGGCAAACAAGAGGGAAAATTTGTACTTAGCTATTCTTTGTAAGCACCCACTGCAATCAGTACAAAATTAAAGGAAGCAAACAGATGCAGCTCCTAGACTTCTACAGGAATTAAGTACAGGACGTCTCTCACAGAGAGCATAAATAGTAACACACCACAAAGCATGGGCTCCTTTTCTTTGTTCGATATTGATATTATAAAGACTAGGTTCAAGCAGTTATTTGAAATGAAAAAAGAATTAAGTGCCCATAATACACTCTGCAAATGCATTTCTTAGTTTGAAAGAAATCAAGTAAACACTATGGTTTCCCCAGATGTCCTCCATCTGTTACTTGGACTCATGATGTCGAATCACACATTCTAAATCGATTTTACCTGGGTAATCGATTTTACATTTACAGCTTAAAATTTTGGAGGCCTGGAAAGATGGCTCAGTGGTTAAGAGCACTTTCTGTTCTTGTAGAGGACCCAGGTTCAGTTCCCAGGACCCATATGGCAGCTCACAGGTGGCTGTAACTCCAAGATCTGACCTCCTCACACAAAACAGACAGACATGCAGGCAAAACACCAATGCACATAAAATAAAAATAGATTATTAGAAAGGGGACTAGAGGGATGTTTCGGCAGCTAAGAGTACTTATTGCTCTTCCAGAGGACCCAGGTTCAATCTCCAGCACCCACATGTCAGCTCACAACAGTAACTCCAGTCCCAGGGGAATCGACACCCTCTTGGAGTGCACTGCATGCATGTGGGGCGGACACAAACACACATTCAGTAAAACATCTCATACATAAAATAAAATAAGTAAGTCTTTTTAAAGGATTACAGATGGCCGCCCAGTGATGGAGCACACCTTTAATCTCAGCACTCTGGAGGCAGAGGCAAGTGGATCTCTGTGAATTTGAGGCCAGCCTGGTCTAGAGTGAGTTCCAGGACAGGCTCCAAAGCTACACAATGAAATCCTGTCTCAAAAAACCAAAACCAAAACCAAACAAACAAAAAACATGTAAACCATGTAATTCATTTCAGGAAAATGGTATTACAAGTATGCTACTCTGATTTTAAAATCTATGCTCTGTTCATGCTATTTTCTCTGAATGTATGAGTCTTCTAAAGTATTTTTTTAATTAAAATCTTTCTTGAATTTGCTTTTGTGCCTATCAAGTTGGACATTATGAATTACCCCTATCTATGTGATAAATATGGGGGTTGACATTATGAATTACCCCTATCAACATGATAAATAACGGGTTGACATTATGAATTACCCCTATCAACATGATAAATAACGGGTTGACATTATGAATTACCCCTATCTATGTGATAAATATGGGGGGTTGTTCTTCCTATTGTCTGTATCTCTTTTATAATATTATTTGCAATGTGAACCAAGTATTTTACAGTTTTACAGATTTATTTTCTTTTTATTTCTATGTGCATCTGTGTGTGTGTGTGTGTGTGTGTGTTGTGTCCAAGAAGACCAGAGGAGGGCATCAGATCTCCCGAGGCTGCAGTGATAAGCCACCCAACATGAGTGAGTGGTGGATCCACTTTTAACCACTGATCATCTCTTCAGATCACCTCAATGTATTTTAAAATCTAAGATAACTAAAGCTTTTAAAAATACAGTATTTTTGAATTGCTTTTTTATAGGGTGTTTAAATACTAGACTTTCAAAAGGGCAGGTAAAGGTTTAATGAAGATATAAAGAACTTAATGTATGTAGCTGGAGGGATAGCTCGATGGCTCAATCCCCAGAAGCCACATGGCAGATCATAACAGTCTGTAATTCCAGTCCCAAGGGATCCAACACCCTCTTCTGTCCTCCTTGGGCACTACATACACGTGATAAACATTTAGGTAGACACTTATATACATAAAATAGAGAAAAAAAAACTCAAAAGTTTTAAGCTTAATATACTATAATCTTGCATTTACTCACCTTCTTGGATGAAGAACGAAATCCTTAAATGTATATGGTCTATCCATTTTCGGGTTTTCCGTCTAAAATGAAAGAGGGGATCAGGTATTTTCAGGAATATTTATGATCCATAATTAAAGATATAACTCAAGAATGAGAAAAGGCAGTTATAGCTTTGCTCAGTGGCAGTATCACAGCCAATAGGTTTATCCAAGGTGCGATTATTGCTAATTGGCAAAAAAAAGGACTGTCAGTTTTAATTGGCGAGGAGGGTGAGCAGAAACCCCAACTACAGCAACACCAGCACTAGGTGGGGACCCAGTGGAGCAGGGACACGTGGGGTGGGGGCTGGGGGCTGCCGGGGACAGTCAGGGGAGCAAGCCTGCAGTGTAGCAGACGCTGGCCCAGAGGAACACGGGATATGGACAGCATCGGCAGGTTGGCATGGTTAGAGCATACAGAGCACTCTAGAACGAAACCGTCAACGGCCTGGAAGGCAAGAGTGGTCCAATGTCTTCCTGAAAGCTATGGCACTCAGCACTGCGCAGGGACAGGCCTCCCCTCCACCCTCAAAGTTCCTCAGTCCTCTGCTTCCTGTTCCGACTCTGCTTCTTTGCACCAGCCACCCTCACACCTGGAAACTTCACTTATTTATTTATAGGGAAGTCTCACTATGAAGCCTCCATGCCTCAAAGTAGATAGTCTCTTGCCTCAGCCTGCCACGTGTCAGGACTACAGAACGGGCGACCTTTTTGGCATTCTTTTCTTTGGTTCTTTCCACTCTATCTTCTGACTCCCTTTGATCCACCCATGTTGAGTAAGGTTTTCCATCTGGCCTTCTGTCTGGCTTATCCGGACAGTGAGAACCTCAAACCTCCTGCTTCTTTTCCCACACAATTTACTTGTGTGCTGCTATTAACCGCTTATGTAAACTTGCATTTCTCCAACTTCATATTGAAATTAACATGTCCAAAATGATCCAGCAGAAGACAGAAGAGGGCACTGAGGGCACTGGATCCCACAGGCCTGTGATTTCTGGTGGATGTGAGTCGCAGACACGTGCTGGGACTGAACTCAGGTCCTCTGTGACAGTCCTCCCCCCAACATTTGATTCTGAAAGGCTTCCTAAGCCCTTCCCACTGCGGTATTTCCAACCCGGTTCTCAGGGTTTGGGGTTTCCACTGTTGCTGATGCGCAGTGTCTTACTTCCCTCTGTAAGCCTAGGCTCTCAATGCTCTCCTTAGAAGGGTCTTCCAAACCCTCTCCTTTAAAGCCTATTTTCATCTAGCTAACAATCCCAGCGGGTCTGTTTCTTGTTGGAGCTCATATAAAGAAATCTTATAGACAGTGAAATGGAAAATTGAGATGAATTTTAGGAAACAGCTCATACACTAAAGACTCACATTGGCAGTTATTAAATTAAAAATTAAATTAAATTAGAAATCACAAGTGCTCGCTTCGGCTGCACATATACTAAAATTGGAACGATACAGAGAAGATTAGCATGGCCCCTGCGCAAGGATGACACGCAAATGGGTCCCTGGGCCTTTGCTGTTAATAAATAGTTTATATGCCTGTGAAAGAAAAAAAAAAAAAAGAAAGAAAAGAAATCACAAACACAGGCCAGGGAGCGGTGGCCAGCACTCAGGAAGCAGAGCTAGGCGGATCTCTGAGTTTCCAGGCCAGCCTGGTCTACAGAGTGAGATCCAGGACAGGCACCAAAACTACACTGAGAAACCCTGTCTCGAAAAGCAAAAAAAAACAAACAAACAAACACACAAACAAAAAAATCACAAACACAAAACTATGGACACCTATACTAACCGGTAAAGGATAGAGAGGGACATCCACTTGACCCAGGAAATCATCTCTTGTCTGTAAAAGAAAGGAGAAACAGCATTACTGATACATTCAATTTCACTATTATGTTTTGAAGAGAAACTCATCATTCACTCACAAAAAAGGTTTTTGTTTAGTCCGCTGCAGCATGGAGGGAAAGTCAAGGAAAAGCGTGCAAAGTAATGTGGCGCCACGTCCGGGATGGCGTGGACACAGCGACAAACCAGTCCTTCTGCACATAACGAGTGTATTTGCATACTTAGGCAAAGGGCAAACCCCACGAATGCACGACAGAATGGCAGAAGGAACGAGAGGAGGCACGCTGAACACAGAACAGCGCTAGGGAGGACGCAGTCACACAGGAACACACAACACATGGAGTGCTTCGTCAGGCCTAAAGCAAACGTCTGCAATGTTCTGTCTGGCGTGGGAGGTGGGAGAGCCAAGGCTAGTTAGCAACATTACTGGAAAGGGAGAAAATCTCATGAAAAAGATGATAGCTCTCCAAATCCACCTGACCCTCACTGAGCCCTGAAACTCCCCCCACCCCCAGTTAAAGGTAAAGGCTCAAAGGACTGAGTACTGACACCAGGCAATGTTCACCCGAGCGGAGGCAGCATTTATAATCCAACCAAGTGAAAGTGCTACAATGAGGGTGAGTGCTTGTCAAGGAAAGAACGCAACACTCTCCATTAAGAACCATTGCAGAGAAACTTACTAGACTAAACAATGGGGAGAATGAGGCAGGACGAGCCAGGCGGTGGTGGCGCACACCTTTAATCCCAGCACTTGGGAGGCAGAGGGGGGCGGATCTCTGTGAGTTCGAGGCCAGGCTGGTCTACAAAGTGAGTTCCAGGAAAGGCGCAAAGCTACACAGAGAAACCCTGTCTCAAAGGGGAAAAAAAAGGGACAGGACATTATTTGAAGAACTAAAATCAGACAAAGCTTCTCCATGTTTGGGAAAACAGCTTCAGCTTAGATAAAGTCACTGAACCCACACTGATAACTAGGAAAAAGGGATGAGTAAGCATATCGTAATGAAGTCCTGGGATACAGGGAAAATCTTGAAAGGAGCCAAATTAAAACAAAAACAACAAAAAGACTCTACACAGGGACCAAAAACACACATGGTGGGAGCGCGTGGTAGTTAACAGTGCTTGCGACTTCTCCACAAGACCTGAGTGTGGTTGCCAGCTCCTACATGGGTGGCTTACATTTTATTTTAAGCATATGGGTGTTTAGTGTCCATGTATGGACATGCACCATGTGCATGCAGTCCCTGGGGAGGCCAAAAGAGGGAGGAGTCCGATCTCCTGGAACTGGAGTTGCAGACACTAACGACTTGCCATGTGGGTGATGGGAATCAAATGAGTGCCAGTGCTCTTAACCATCTGAGCCATCTCTCCAGCCCCCATACGTACATAATTGAAGAAAGAACATAAATGATGGCAGGTTACTGATTAAACACACTGGAATAGAGGAGACAAAAGAATACTGCCTATCAAACGCTCAAAATGTGAATTTTCATGTAGCAAAGAAACATCTCTCAAAACTGAAAGGAAGACAGATAGGCTGAACGCAGATGAAGGAGACAGGTCTGCCATCAGCAGGCTGGCAGAGCAAGTGGGAGGAGAACTCACAGGGTGAAAGGCACCTGAGGGAAGTTCAGGTCCAAAGAGAGGAGCATGAAAACCACTAGCTGGGGAGCTGGGAGGTGGCTGAGAGGGTCCAAGTATTGGCTCTGCAAACTTAAGGACACGAGTTCAAATCCCAGAACTAAAACAAAAAATAGAGAGCTAAGCTGGGCACTGGTGGCGCAGGCCTTTAATCCCAGCACTTGGGAGGCAGAGGCAAGAGGATCTCTGTGGGTTTGAGGCCAATGTGCTCTATAGAGCTAGTTCCAAGGAAGCCAGGGCGATACAGTATAAAGTCTCAAAAAAAAAAGAATGAATGAATGAATGAATGAATGAATGAGAGTTGGCTCAGCAGTTAAGGGGACCTGAGGTTTGATTCCCAGGACTCACACAGTGGCTCACAACAACCTGAAATTCGAGTTCCAGATGATCCTATGGCCCCTTTTGTCCTTGGGCACCAGACACACATGTGGTGCAGACAATAGGTACAAGCAAAGCTCCCATACATATAAACTATGAGAGAGAGAGAATGAAAGAGAGACGGAGAGGGAGAGGGAGAGGGAGAAAGGAAGGGAGAGGGAGAGGCTAATGAACCCTCCAACCCCCCAGTGCTGGGGTTATAAACCCATGCCACCACACCTGGTTTTTCACAGGGGTCTGAGGATCAATCTCAGAACTCCATGCTTTCATAGCAAGTGTTTTAATGACTGAGCCACCTGTCAGCCTGAGTTGAGCTTTTATTATTGCATGTGTGTGTGTCTAAGACTGGAAAGGAGTGGACACGTGCTGATGCATGCACGCCACCGCACACAGGTGAGAGAACAACTCTGGACTGGGCTCTAGGATTACACAAGTGTTTCCTAGTTTATGCTGCAAGCGCCTCCCCAGCCATCCCTCTTGTCTCTGAACAGTTTCGGAACTACTATATAAAATAAAACAGTCCCAAGCAACTCAACTTCCAGTATCAGAAGAACGAACAACTTTCCCAAAGTAACAATCTGTCCGGTGGTCTGAGGAGGATGATATGAACCAGGGGCATTCCCTGAAAAGTCCAGGCACACGGCGGCTGCTGTGAACACATGGCAACCCGAGGTGCTTTTCCCATTCACCAAGGAAAAATAACTGTCTTAAACTCATTCCTATGACTGCAAGTTCATCTGAGATCCTCATTCCCGAGTTCCTGGCCAAGCAATTGTTCCACACCCTGAGTACCAAGTATGTCTCTGTGGCTGTCATTTCCGACATCTGAGGGGCAAGCAGCTTATTTCAGGAGCAAACCACACTTGGGGAAATGTAAGGTATTTAAGACAGCCTGAAAATATGAGCAAGAATTCAGGCTGCAGTGACTCTGCATCCCCATCAGTAGCGGGCACACTCCAATGATACGTTCCCAAAAAGACTGTTTAGAACATAAACACGGGGAAAATCCAAATTCACTTTTTAAAACAAATTTCTATTAAAATTATACATGCTTTCTTCTCTTTGTGAGATGAAACTGTGTGTGTATGTGATTTATACACATGTGCATGCGTGAATGTATGCAGAGGCCAGGAAGTGGTGGAGTTCGGAGAGATATATATGACTCTTGCTATGACCCTCAGGCCTCCACAAGCAAGTGCACACATGTGCACCCATGGAGAAAGAAATGAGAGAAAACAAGTTCCGCACCTTTGGCCACAAGTAGGGAAAAGATAAACTGATAACCGGAAAATGGATCTTCCAGGAATCTTAGGTTATATCTCTAGCCTTAGGTATCACTCAATGATGGCGGTCCGAATGGCCTTGACCTGTGCCTCATGCTATTCACCCGGGAACATTATTCATCAGGTTGTACTCATTCTGATGGAATTTTCCCTCCAGACACTTGTTTTTTTCCTTCTGCTGTTTTTTTTTTTTTTAAACCAAAATAACCTTTCCTAAGCAGCTTTTCCCTGGTTGGGTTTTCCTACTGCAGGGGAGTCCCGTCAGCCAGTGGTAGAGCAAGTGCACATTAGAACCTAACTGTGATGAGCTCAGTGCACAGGGGACATTACCCCTTCCTTTGTCATGTGGAAGGAGCGGGCAGGTTTTACGGCCTATGATACATATCCCCAATTAACGCCTTGTGGAAGAATCCATCAAGCTTTCCTTCAGTTCAACTGCTAGATGAGGCTTTTAGACAAAATGAGGGCAAGTGTCCCACACCAGACTCCACCAGGAAGCCACTGTGGTATCATCTATCACCTAGTCCTACTCTCAACACACTTGGGGAGACATATGTGGGCACAAGTATGTAGACAACAGGACAAGAGTGGAAATCATTCCTTAGGCACTACCCATATTCATGGGCATCTGGGGCCACCATTTGATTAGGGTAGGAAATCTTATTTTATATTATGACGTTTGTTTCAATTAGTCGCTCCAGGAGTAGATAGGCTTCCCGAATGTACCTAGGTATATCAGACAATAAACGTGAAGGTGAGGCAATTTTATTTATTACAAGGTAATTCCCATCAGCACCTTGAGAATCAGACTAAATCTCACTTTTATGATCCAGTTTACCTGAGTTAATGGTTACATAAACCAACAGACAGAAAGGACCTTCCGTGTCCATCACTGTGTGTGTAAAACGGGACAATACAAGGTGTCTGTCTTCTCTGAAGAGGAAGTGACCTGAGTGACCAGAGCCAGCTGCAGAGATTCCTTCCTGTAGGAGCTCCCCTCCCCCAGTTTGAAAAGCACTACACCACAGAACCCAAAAGTAACTTCACAGTGCCTCTCTTTCCAAAACAAGAAACAGCCTGGCCTGGTGGTACAGGCTTTAAATCCTGCACGTGCACTAAGAGCTAGAGGCAGGCAGAGCTCTGTGAGTCTGACGCCAGCCTGGTCTATACATAGTGAGTTCCAGGACAGCCAGGGATAGGAACAGGAACCCTGTCTCCAACAACAATAAAGAACATCAGGCACAGGGTGAGCAGTGCCATAAAGAATAAACTGCAAGGACAGTAAAGAAACAATGTAGCACCCCAAACAACACAAAACAAAGATGCCGCACTCGGGACTCTCAGCAACAGAGGAACCTGTATATAAGCTGTAAGTGAAGG